GAACGTGTCAAGGAATGCGGGCATCATGTCTCAACCCAAACGTGTGTGTCAAATGATTTGTTTTCATTCTTTTTTGCACAAAATTCTTCAGTGTTGTTTGTTTCTCGAGTTCCTTTGGGTCTGCCAAGGAACTGTACTAACATTTCAGGTTTCCCCATCGTGATGATGGCCTGTTTTCTTCCGCTTCCGAATTCTTCCCCCTCGCTCCTCCTCCTCTGCCACCCCTAGGCCAAGATGTTTCTCAGTGTGTCTCCCATTCTATTATCCCCTCCTATCCAAAAATCAAATGTCGGCGCCAAGGCCGCGCGTAGTCTATGTATCGTTGTGTCGATTGTTGTGCTGTGCCCACCAGTTTTGTATGCAAGGAGTGAATAGACCGTTAGATGTCGTAAGTAAGTTGTGATGCTGATGTGTATGTGTGTGCCGCCCGACCAACCAAAACCCGCTGCCCAAAAAAAGGAATGGATTAAATATTTAAACAGAAAGTTCATCAACGTGGACGATGAACGTTGTACACGTTCGAGTGGTGCTGGATGCTGTTCTAGTCTACAGCAACAGCATGGCGCCGGCTACAAACGCGGCGAGACCAATGGGCAGGACGGAGACGCTGCCGATGGGGACGGCGACGTTTTGCAGACCGCCACTGCCACCGCTGCCGCTGGAACCGGCCGAGGTGGCGGCGGGTTCGGGGTCGACGGCGACAAAGGACGTGGCGGTCACGAGGACAACGTCGCCGTTGGAGGCGGTCGACGTAAAGGTGGACTTGACCTCGCTGAACGAGGTGGTCCGGGGCGTGCTGCGCGTAGTGGTGGTGCCTTGGCGGGTAGTGCCTGATGTTTTGTTAGCAACTTGATGCAATCGGATGGATGAAATGACGAGTCACGAGGCCAAAAAGATCATCTACCAAACCCTCAACTCCAGGCTAACATGAATCGAGCGCTACAAAACCAACATACCAGATACAGACACAGTCGACGAAGCGGAGGACACCGTGGGGGACGAGGTCACGACCGTAGTAGTCTCAGAAGAAGGGGAAGCAGACGTACCCGGCGCGGACGCACTCGAAGACCCCGGGGAGGCCGTGGTGGGAGCGGACGAGGGGGCAGAAGAAGGGGGAGGGGGAGAAGAAGAGGAAGGAGACCCACTGGTCGTCGGAGGAGACTCAGTAGAGACGGTGGACGGCCCAACAGGAGTAGAAGAGGGAGATGCTTGCTGCGACTCCGATTGAGACGTACCAGAAGAAGGGGCTGCTGCTGAAGTCTGCTGCGTCGCGGGGGTGCTCGAGGCGGCGGGTTGTTGCGATGACTGCTGGGGCGTGGTCTGCGCTGCCGAAGTCTGTTGCGGCGTGCTAGAGGACTGCTGGACCTCTGCGGAGGAGGACGGCGGGGGAGCAGCGGAGGAGGTGGCCGGAGTAGACGGCGCTGGGGTCGGAGTCGGGGTCGGGGTGTTACTGGCCGGCGGCGCGGACGAGGCAGACGGCGTGGAAGCTTCCGAGGCGGAGGGCGTGGGAGTGGCAGCGGGAGCAGCGCTCGAGGTGCCATTGTCCTGACGCTTCTCTAGCTGACCGAGAGCAGAAGCCAGCTCGGCGTCATCCGCCTGGAAGGCAGCAATGGCTTCCTTGTCCGAGGCATAGACGCCATCCTGGTAGCGGTCGGGGAAGTAGGCGTGGAGGAGCCTGTGAATGAGATCCACTTTGGCGGCGTCCTTGACCTCGCCCTCTGCCACCAGGACCTGTTCCTGATGATCTCTCGTGCAAGGTCGTGCCCGGTGACCAATGGCCGAGGCGAGACTGAGGGTCATCAAGCCGCACACCAAGACGGTGAGCAGAAGACGGCGTGCAGCAGTCATTTTGTTTGGCGTCCTGGATGATGGTGATGTCGTCGTGATCCCCTTCTGGTTGACAACAGGCAGCAATCCCTCTTCAAGGTGGTGGTCGTACTTTGTGTCGAAAGTCATGGTGGCGAGATGTGTGAGGTGCTCCCAGGTTGTTTATAGACAGGACCAAGAGGCCAGGAAGGTTACAAACACCCAAGACGGCAGGACGGAAACGACAGTTGGATGGACGCGGAAGTAGGTGTGCAGGGGACCAAGTGTGAAGTTACACACAGCGAGTGAGGGTCTGTCTAGCGTCCCGGCTGCAGCAAAAGGCGGCGAAAGATGTAAGAGAGGGGGGAAAAGATCCAATGGCCCAACAAGTTCAAAGAGAAGGCTTGCAGGTATTGTATAGGTCGCAAGCGGCCTCCGTTTCTGATGTGAGGAAGAGGGGCGAGAGGCGATCTAAAAGGTTGGATGAGCGGTGGTACCTGGCCGGCCGAAACCCTCTTGTCTGGTGGGTGGTTGGGGGTGAGGCCAAGGATGGAGTTTTCTGCGTAGTGAGACCCGTCGAGCTAACAGCTTTTGGGATGTGAGGGTCGGCTTGAGGCACGCCGCGCGCTTCTTTTGCGGTCCCCGGGGTTCGGTATCAAAAGCAAAGGAAAAAACCTTGCTGCTGAATGTTTATCGTTTGAGAATGGACGGAACCGGGAAACTACTGCGTACCCGTCCAATGGGTGGAAGCTGACACTGGGCGATAGGTATGTGTGTAGATTGTTGCGCAGTCCCGCCAATTTCACGAGCCTGAGACTTGGCTTGGAATGTGAACAACTCTGAACAGTCGGGGTGACGAGAATCTACCGTGTTGTAGGTGGCGATGGACAACAGCAAAGGCGAGCGAGCGTCGTAGCAGAACAGTGACCGAAGGATGATCAGATGAGAACTGGCAAAGCGAGCGAGCAAAGGGGATTGGCGTTTAAACCTGTTGAAGATCGTCCCAGGCAGAATGCACATCGGCGTCGCCCAGTCGGCTGGGGGCAACACATCTTTGTGCATATAAAGATTCCCTGTTTCGCCGCCCCGACGACGTACCCCTGTCCTGCCGGCCCAACTCGAGCTATCCGTCCCATTGCTTCCATGGATCCGTTCTAGCTGCGTAGCTCTCTGTCAGTATGGATAGAGTGACGAACCGAGCCCCGGTCGACAGACTCAGTGTAACCCTCTCCGCCGTGAACCAAACCGAGCTTCCCATTTCATCAGTCCGTCCCCATCTTGCATCGCTATCGCTCGTCACTGGTGTCCATCGCGTCTGCGGCGTGCCGGGACAGCCTCTGGAGACTGGAGTCTGCAGCAGCTCGTACAGGGATCGTCAGGCGCAGCGTCCATCCTCGGCTCCAGTCGATATTGAATAATATTTTGCTGATTCTGTCCCAATTTTGGCCGGGAATGTCAAAAGCCCATTAATTCCTCCGGGCGTGGCCTCTGCGCTAGGCAATGTCTTTCCGTTCCCTGATACCCACTGGCCCCAAAGCCACTTGGCTCATGTTTTTTTCTCAGGAGTCGCCCGGTGCTGCCGTCGAGTGGATTGTGACATCACCAATAGCATCAGACCAGCGGCGTCTCGTATCGTCTCCGAACCCATCGTCAGTCTGATTCATTGTCCCACACTTTGCACATACCGCGTACAGAAGTGCAGAGAGACGTACGTGGGCTACGCTACGCCGCGATACGAGTCGTCTGGTGTCTGCCAACTTCAGATGCCCCGCGATGGTGCCGCACTCGGTGACTTTCGCGCCATCCACACATGCAAGACTCTTGGTGATCAGTCAGACCATGGGGGTTTCTCGTCCAATTGCCTCCATCCTCGCATCGTTGGCTCGTGGGAGGGGAAGGGGGAGCTGACTGTCGGGGCCTGCACCCAGCCGCCCTAGCGAGTGCCCGGGGGGGTCTTGGAAACTCGGTGCGGTGTGCTGCAGCATCTTTGCGACATCCACCGCGCTGGCACTGCATGCAGGTCGATTACGAACCCACTGCCGGTCCGGTCAGCTTTGCAGGCATGATGTCCCAAGGGAGCTGATAAGACTATTTTTGCTTTTGGCTTGCCTCTCCCGTCAATAGAGCCTCATTATCACTCCCTCTGCGTCTGTCTGTGGTCCGTCTGTCGATAGAACCTCTTTGCATAAGAGAGCCATCTCCCCTGAGCTTCGTCGCGCCTGAATCTGGTGTGGAACACGTCAAACGGCGAGGTGCAACTGTACAACGTGTGGGCTCACGCATCCGTCTGATTTGATGGTCTTTTGTCCTAGCTGGTACGGGAGGTGGCTGTGATGGTCGCCGTTTGGAGCGTTGCGCACCTGAAGCCGCCCGTATGGTTTCTTAGCCCGTCTGACCCGTTTGACGTTCTGTTTGCGTGCGTTTGAAACAGCGAGCCATCACCTATCACTGATCAGACCGACAGATGGGGCTCGTCCTATTCGCGGTGAATACTCCGTAGTCGCTGTCCACAATCGAGTGACTGATCGACTCGTATTTTGACTTTTTTTCTGCCCAGCGTCCGGTTTGGGGGAGCGGCCCAGTGCGGCTGTCTCTCCAGCATGTCCCCAGTCCCTGCCAGCCAATCCTCGACCCGCTGCAGGGACCAGGTAATACGAGATGCGGCCCTCATCCTCGAGACTCTCGAATGACGGGTGCTGGGGCGGTCGGGCAGCCGAGTGCCGGGGCCTCGACCCTTTTTTCGCACTCGTCGATGCCGATGCAGGCTTCGTGGCCCGCTAGAGCATCCGGATGCTAGCGGGAGGCGAGGAGGCTGAGGCCGATGTGCCAACTCGCTATTCGTACGTTTGACGGGCACTGACGGGACAAAATGAAGATGGTGGCGTCCGGATTGGGAAACGGTCAGCGGTGCCCCACGATCTGGTGGTTTGTGGCTTGCCTGTTGATTCTCCGATTGATTGTTATTTTTGGCAGTTTTAGTAGCAGTGCTTCAGCAGTACACTAGGCTGGCGACGCCCAACAAGTGTGAGCATCAAATGCGATGTCGACGATCTGGCGATGCTGCAGACCGACGTTGAGCTGCGAACAGCACCCACTTGGGATGCCCCGATTTTGGCCTGGAGACTGGAGACGTCGATTATGTCAGAAGTCCACCATATCGCAACGTCGCAACCTGGCTTTCTCTCGCAGGTGGACTACATGTGCATCATCGTGAGGTCGCGAGCAGCAGATCGATAGAGCCTGGCGTCACCACAAGTCCACCACAGCATGTCCGAGCCGACGGGCACCAGGCTGGCACGGCTGGCGGCTGGCCTGACGGGTCCAATTGACTTTTTCATCTCGTGAAGGGCTGAAGACTGATTCCGCCCTGGCTTGGCCTGTGCCGTGTCGCGCGTGTGTCTTGTTTGTGGTTGAGATTACTTAAGAATGACACTGCGACGTCCACATTGCTCTTTTCTCAAGGCGTCAGGCCAGGCCATGCCTGCAGGAATCTGGCAATGTCCGCCGCATAGAGGCTCTCGAATGGAGGCTACCATGGTTGAGTGTCGGGAGATAAGGTCACCGACGTCTGGGATCACGTCTGGAACGTCCCTGGGGTGGGCGCGTTTGATGATGGCGAGCTTGATCGCGGTGTGTCTCTCGTCAGCCTCCTCTTCAGACTTGTGGAAGAAAGATGGTCGACGGCTTCTGATTCTTGACTTCGGTCCCGGACGGGAGACATCCTGAGGTTCCTTACCTTAGAGGCCGAGTACATGGCTGCAAGTACCTTAGGTAAGCTGCCGTTCGGTACCCGGAAGACACGCCCGAGTGCCCCGCCAAGAGAAGCAATCGCAAGAGAACCTCTGCGGCATCAGGCTCAGCCACAGGAGGTGACAGGCTGTGTTGTTTGGCCCTGTGGCTCGTGCATCTTGTGAAATCCGGTGGGATCTGTCTGCTGTCTGTCACTGCCATCCACTACGTGCTGACTGTCGCTGCTCTGCTGTCACCCGCTGTCCACTCGCGTTGGCGCATTCCTCCCTGGCGCCGCGCGGCTGATGGACCGCTTTCCCAACAGAGACTGCTAGCAGACAGCCCACTAACCCAGCCAGCCCAGTCTCGCAGATGACAACACAGCTGCCAATTCGCATCTTTCATGTGATGGAGCTCCCCACAACCGCCGCCTCGCCGTCAACTTGTTCCCCAGCCTCTGACACCCGTGGCCTGACGTGAAAGAAACACCATCATCGTAGCGACGCCCCAATCACCCTGCGACAGCCCACGGCACCCGTCTCGCTCAATTCCATGTTACCCAGCATCGCCAACACAGTGATTCCCAATCCCCAGTAACCGAATGCTGGCACTCGTCACCAATGCGATAGCTCCGCCATGCCCGCGCATCTCGAACCGAACGCTCTCTTCGGCCACGATACAGAAGCAAACGATGAAATCCGATCTCTCAGCCGCTCCCCGCATCCCTATCACCACCTCAATACCGAGCTCCCTCATCCCGCCCACCGTCTAGTCTATAAGCCTCCCAATGCCGCACCGACGCCGCCGAGGACATCATCAACAGACTCTAGCCGAACCCCATCTCCCTTTCCATCGTTCGCCAAGGACTCTTCGCAGGGTAGCGACAGCGGCACCGAAGCCGACGATGAGCACTTCCTCAAGGGGCTGCCGGCGCCCAAGGTCCGCCTGCACAAGGGACTAAGGGGGCAGAACGAGGTGCTCTCGGGCTCGTCGACGCCCCTCTTCTCTCCAGACCAGGAAGAAGATGCCTTGCGCAAGCAGAAGGAAAAGGAGGATCGGAAAGAGGCCCGCAGGTTCCTCAACGATCGCAACTACCGCCGCACAAAGGAGCTCATCCGGCGCGTGTCAGAGTTCATCATTGTGGGTTCGCTCTTCGCTGTGGTTCGCTCAAATCCGTTGGTGAAGCCACTGTTCACCGCGTGGATCAGAGGTATGTTACGTCCAGTCCGACGTTGGAACTGCAGCTCACATGTTCAGAACTGCGCTTCCCAGCCACGCTCATCACCTCTCTCATGATCCTCTACCCGGTCCGACTCTTCGCATGGTCAACCCGCCATAGGGCCTCGTCAAAAAAGCCAGCCATTGCCGTGCCCACCGTCTTTGACCCTGCGCCCATTCTGTATCCTCCGTCTGTGACGCTCCTCGTGGCGTTATTAATATCCCCTGACAACCAGGCGGTCATCCTTACAAACATTATTCTGAGCATTTCTTCGATACCCAAATACTTAATCCCGACGGCTCGCGCTCACGAAGCCATTAACCCCCTGCAATGGGTTCTATCCTGCGTTCCCATGTGGCTTTCGCAGCAACACCCGGACGCGACACTATCTAGACCGAGCATCAGCCCGGAGACGGCTGTTCTCCTGTACCCGCTGCACCAGACGCTGCTCGAAGTGCTGCACTATCTTACTACGACGAGCCTGCTCACGGCTGAGCTGCAGCTGCTCTCCATTGCCTTGATCAATGTGCTCCTCCTCGCCCACTCGCCACAGGCCACCATTCTCCAAGCGCTGCTCTGGGGAGGCGGCGTGGGCGTGCTCGTCGTCTGCGGTCCGGTGATTCGATGGGGTATCGCCTTGGCTAGGGTTCCGAGGCTGCGCTTCAGGCGCGTTGGGACCCCGTCAAAGAAGTCATCCGTCTTTGGGTTTCTCTCCGAGGGGCTCTCTATGCGGCGCTTCAAGCACGAGCTGCTGGGCTCATCACTGGAGGAGTCGGCATCTGAACTGGGCGATTCCGAAGAGGAAATCATCAACGGACCCTTTGCGAAACCCACGAGAGTCCGGACGTTTGGCATGGCCGATATGCCCTCCCGAGGAGAGCGCAAGATGAGCGCCTCTCCTGATGGCAAAGCCCCAGCATCACCAAACGGGTTCGCCGCTGAGCGACGCAACACGTTTCCGTATGCTTTGCAGCGGCCGCGGCGGTCCCTGACACACACATCAGCAGGCCGAAGGAAACGCACCGCGTCGACAACCGTCCGCTCCTTCTTCAAGCTGACGGAGGCGCAAGCCACCATGAGGAAATGGTCGTACGCAACATATGTCTACACTTGCATTGTGCTCATCATCTTGGTGCCTGTGCGAGAATACATTGGTCGCCATGCGCTGCTGGGTAACGAGCCCGTCGGCTGGGCACTGGGATATCTCTTTGGCGAGCTGCCGTGGTTCAGGTTCAAAGTGGTTGAAGCGAACCTCGAGAGATGGATCTGTCTGCCTGCACGCCTGAGCGAGGACGTTGCAAAGGCGTCCTGCCACCAGGGGTGGGTGCAGCACATTCGGCTGGCCGACTTTGGCGAAGCCAACACGCGGCTCCTGATGGCAGCGTACTGGCTTGCCATTGTCATTGTCGGCTTGACCGTGGTCATTCGCCTGGACCCCAAGTACGAAGTGGACACGAGGCGAAAGGTCTTCCACTTCATGATGGTTGGCATGTTCCTCCCTGCAACCTTTATCGACCCCGTCTTTGCGGCTTTGGCACTATCGCTTGTCCTCGCCATCTTCCTCATTCTCGACCTCCTGCGGGCGAGTCAGCTCCCGCCGCTGTCCCGGCCCATCGCCTCGTTCCTCACGCCGTACGTGGATGGCAGAGACCACAAGGGGCCCGTCGTCATCTCCCATCTGTTTCTGCTCATCGGCTGCGCCATCCCTCTCTGGCTGTCCCTCGCCACCCTTCCGCGCTCCGGCAGCGGCTACTTAACCGGGTGGGAGGTGCCGACGCGCGAAGTCAGCATGGTGGCGGGCGTCATTTGCGTCGGTCTCGGCGATGCTGCCGCATCTCTTATTGGCAGGCGGTACGGGCACAGAAAATGGGTCTGGGGCGGCGGCAAGAGTCTCGAAGGCAGCGTCGCGTTCGCGGTGGCCGTGTTCCTTGGGCTGATGGCGGCAACGACCTGGCTTCGGGTTGGCAGGTGGCCCGTCGCGGCGGAGCAGCATGTGGCGTGGCCCACGTCGGCGCGGAACGCCGGCTTTTGCGCCAGCATGGCAAGCTTGACGGAGGCGGTCTTGACCGGCGGAAACGATAACGTTATTGTGCCGGTGGTCCTCTGGACGTGTGTTAAAAGCATCGGGGTGTAGGGGCGTGACATGGGACTGGCGTTTTCAGGGGGGTCAGGGTTTCACGAGATGGTTTTCTTTTACAAAATACTCCTAGAACATGGGTGATCATGATTATGAATGCAACGCCTCGGTTTGCCTGTCTATGTGCCGTGTGATTTTCGTGAATCGGTTCGGGGAAGCTACAGATGCTAGGTTTCGCCACTATGCTTTCGCCTCCCGAATGCGCTAAATGTACAATGATTTATAGATATGTCGAAGTCGACTCAGGACATCAAGTCCTCGAGGATGGCCTCGAGCTCTTCTCGCCTAAAGGGGATACTCAAGAGCTCCGTGCCGAGGGCGTCTTTCCTGCTCTCAATGATTTGATGGTCGTGGAATCTGTCTTGTCAGTCTCTGCTTCAAATGTGCACCCGATAGAATGAGGGAAAAGGGGGTATAGGGGGGGGGGGGGGGCATACTCCTTCAGCAGCGTCCGGAACGCCATCTCGGAACTGCAAATGAAATCCTCCACGGCCTTGTTATACACCATCCGGTATTCAACACCCGTATTCTCCGCCCCATACTGTTGTCCACCGTCATCGTCCATGGCGGACAGGACCTCGATAACGAGCAGCTCGAACAGCTTCTTTGCGTTCTCGGGCAACGAGCGGAGCACAAAGACGACGCCCTCTTTGCCGTTGACGCGCCGGGCTTTGCGGCCGAGGAGTTCGTGGACCTCGTCTACGGGGTCGAGCTCGACGTCCTGTAGGGGTTGGAGGGTTGTGGCGTCGTGGAATAAGAAGTTGAAGGATGTGCGCTGGGCGGCGTCCCAGAGGAGGGGGAAGGAGGGCGTGTCTGCTGTTGCGACGAGGCGGATCTGGGGCAGGGCGGCGAGTTGGGAGAGGAGTTGTTGGGTTGTTTGTTTGCGGAGGGGGTGGGCGTCTATGGAGTGGAGGAGGATTGTTATCGGTCGGCTGTGTGATGATGAGGCGAGGGCCGAGGAGAGGGCCTGGACCATGGCCGTCGTCTGGGCGGGCAGTTTCAGCGCCGGATCGAGCGCCGCGGCGACGGTGGAAAAGACTTCTCGGGCCGTCAGAGAGCGCACGTGGCCGTTGACCACGACGATGGGCGCCTCCGGGTCCGCGGCGTAGAGGTGCGCCGCCAGTTTGGCGACGAGGCTGCGTTTGGAGCCCTGGCCGTAGAGGCAGAGGCTGAAGCCCTGGGCGAGCTCGAAGTGCCACTGCGGAAAAGAGGACTCGTGCAGGGACTCGAGGTAGGCGAGGTCGTCTGCGTGGGGGTCTTTATTTTGTAAGGCGTCCTCGCGGCGGAGGTCAAAGTACTCTTCGTGCGTGAGGAGGTCGAGGGAGGCGAGGGTGTTGTGGGACGTCTTTGCGCGGCCGGGCTTGTTCTGCTCAAAGTAGATTTCGTGGGGGGGCAGCTCGCGGGGCGGGGTTGGCGATTTGGGCGGTGGGAGTTTGCGTGGACGGCCGCGGCGGCGGGGGGTTGCTGCTGATGGTGTGTCTGGTTCGGGGGGTTGTGATGCTGATGCTGGTGCTGATGCTGTGGATGGTTTCGTCGCCGACGTCGTCGTCTTTGCTCTTGGTGTCCTCTGTTCCTCGGCTTCCTCGTCTTCCTCCTCCTCGCTCGACTCGTAAATCTCGCGCGCGAGACCCTCATCCCCGTCGCTGTCCTCGTCGGCGACGATGCTCTGGATCAGAGCCCTGGCGCTCTTCCTCCGTGCGGAACGGTCAGCGGCCTGGCGCCTCCGCGGTGTGATGGCGGCCTTGACGGGCGTCACCAGCGTGTTCACCTGGCGCAGCTTCGAGGGCGTGACGGCGCCGCTGGCTTGCGGCGTTGCTGGTTTCGGCGGGCGGCCTCGTTTCTTTCTCGGGGTCTGTTCTTCGGGTTCGGAATCGGGATCTCCTGCTGCTGCTGCTGCTGCAACCTCACCATCAGCGGCATCAGCGGCATCGCTGTCAGAAGGCACTTCGTAAGGGTCCGCTGCCTGGCGTCTCCGCTTCGAGGGGGTCCCGTTGATGGGCTCGTCGTCGGCTCCGTCGTGCAGCTGCTGGCGGGAACGCTTCTGGCTCAGTCTGCTGCTCGGGGAATCGCCCACGTCCGCCTCTTGTGGTCTTTTCCTGGACATTTTGTTGCTTCTATTGATTTGTTATCGTTGATTTCGCTGATCATACAGTTCGATGGCGTGGGTGGTGGTCAATATTTTGCGGCTTTCGACGGCACGGCAACCGGAGACGACGCGCTGGGGACGCGAAAATGTGCAGTCGGACAGGGAGGCGGCCGAGTGGGTCCGGGTGTCTAATTGAGTTGACCGGTATCACTGTAGTGGGGCCCATGTGCTTATCTTATCAGACGAACAGGGGTAGCTGTTGCGCATTCTGCAGGTGGCCCAAGCTCCCCGCATGGTCCAAATCTCTCCGGCCCATCCTCCATCCAACCAAGAACTTCACCTCCTTCCCCCCAAATTCCATCCTCACCCCAAGGGCCCATCACCAAGATGAATCTCAACCTCTCCGGCACGGTAAATGTGTTCAAACTTCTGTTCAAGCCCACGCTGTGTCTGCCGCAGCATACGGTCGCGACGTTCAACGACCTGCCCATCCCGTTTGAAAAAGCCTTTGAGGGCCAGAATCGGAAATGCGACATCAGGGCCGTGGTGCTCGACAAGGACGACTGCTTCGCGGTTCCCCACACCAACGAGGTCCACAAGCCCTACAAGGTATGTCACTGCATGCTTGCTTTTGTAAAATAGTCCGCTGAATCATCATCAAGGAGCGCTTCGAGCAGCTCAAGGCCGCGTATCCCGGCCGCCGGCTGGTCATCGTCTCCAACACGGCCGGAGCGACGTCCTATGACAGCTCCCTTAAGCTGGCCAAGGAGCTCGAAGAGGCCACCGGCATCACCGTCCTGCCTCACAAGACGAAGAAGCCCGGCTGTGGCTCCGAGATTATGGAGTACTTTCGCAAGCACCCCGAGACGGGCGTCTCCCATCCGTCTCAGGTTGCCGTCGTCGGCGATCGCTTAACCACCGACATGATGCTGGCCAACATGATGGGCGGCTGGGGATTTTGGATCAGAGAGGGTGTTGTTGCTCCCGAGGAGAAGAGCATTGTTAGTATTCGTCCCTCCAGAGTCAAGCAATGGGTTTCTAACTTGGTTACAGCTCTCGAGACTTGAATGGCGACTGGCAGCAGCGTTGACTGCCAGGGGGTACAAAGCAGCCGACCCCCAGAGTCCTTTTGAGTAGGCTGTCTTCCAGCCGGGCTTTCGACCTAGGATCAAAGGGCCCAGTGCATCGTTGTGCTGCTCGCCTCGGTTGAAGTTCTCAAAGGTCAAAGAGAGTTCAGCTTCAACTCTCCACAGGCCTTTTGCAGACGACGTCGGTGTGCGAAAGGCCTGTGAGCAGTGGAGCAGTCTTGTCGTTGTGCTCTGCTGAGGGTGGACGAATATCGACATGTCGAAGACGATCCAGCAGATGGCTCAGCAGCAAATGGAGTTTCGGTCAACTCAGGGGCAAGTCGTTTGTTGGACTGTCTTTGACATCACCGAAAACTGGTTGGAGTCCTAAGCTTCTGCTTGCTCAGGGTGACTTGAAGCACATCCACTTGTTCCAGCTGCACATTTCAAAGGTCAGCCTTTGGCCATATCGATCCTCGTCAACATTCATTCACACGCAAGGCATCGATCCTGAGAAGCCACATGGATGCTTGCTGCTGTCTCCTGAAGACCTGTCCATGGTTGCGTCGTCCCTCTGTCATCCATGACCGAGTAACCTTGCTCGAATACGGCCATGATACCGACCTCGCCTCCGTTGCTCCTTCCCAGCAGGCCATCACTCGTCCAATCTTTCATCGCATCGACCTTTCGTCGCATCGACCTTTCGTCGCATCACCAATCCATCGCATAACCTATTCACCATATCGACTCTTGACCGCATCACCACTCCGTCACATCAGTCTTCCGTCGCAAAGCCCTTCTATCGCATCACCTTTCCGTCAGAAAACTCTTCCACTGCATCACCTTTCAACCGCATCGCCCCTCCGTCACATAACCTATTCACCACAATATGTTTCTACCGCATCGCCAATTCACCGCAACCTCTTGGGATTCCGTCGCATCACAACCAGAAGATTTGCTTTGGGCAGAAGAGGTGGCATTCCATCGCATCACCCTTCCGTCCCATCACCTTCCGTCCCATCAACTTTCCGTCTCGTCACCCTTCGACCGCATCATGATTCGACTGCACCACCTATTCACCGCCATGGGGTCACTCAGCTCATCACGGCCCATCATGGCCCATCACGGCCGCCTCAACCACCCACAATATAAATATCAACCTACCACCCGCCTACAGGAGTCCGGTCACTCCTACTTCCTCAGGGCATACTTATTCCTTCCTACTTTTGACGCGAGCGCGTACTCAACTCGCTTTCACTGATCGCCGCACAAATTCTTCCAAAAAAAAAAAACCAATTTCGAATTCCTGAACCCACAGCAATATTCTTCTTCCCGACCGCCAATATCTGTGACTTCGCAGCCGTTCCTTCCCAAACAGCACACACGAGGCGAAGAGAAGCCTTGAATCTCATAAGAATTGCCTCGAGAGCTTTCTATCGCAACTACGACACCCTTACCGCGACAATCCTGCACCACACCAACATGCCCGGCAAAGCGTGGAGCAAAGAGGAAGAGCGCGTCTTCTGGCGTTCCATCGTCCCTATTTCGGCGAAAGGGATTTGCGCTGGCTCGGCCAGATCTTGGGAAGAGTTGGCCGTCATCATGCAGCGGGAGATGGGCCCCAATGCCAAGCGCCAATACACCCAGCTCAGTCTTGGTACGTTCAGCGCATTCGATCGATTTACTTGCCGTGCTAACAATCAGACAGTGGAGCATTATTTCCAGAATCACGACAAGGAGCATTTCTCGCCCTTTGCGGCTCCGTACGTACGTGAGATGAAGAGTGCCATGGCCGCGCTTAAGAAGAGTCAGTTGCAGGGTGAGGCGTCTGTTCCTTCCCAGGATGCCCAGGCTCAGGACAGCTTCGACAAGCATACCGGCGAGTCCACTGATGAGGAGAACGAAACCAGCTTCTCTGAGGGAACTGACCACAACGACGGAGATTACGTTGATGATGGAGGTGACGAAGACGGCGAGGGAGACGATGACGATGTTGTCGATGTTGACAACGATCTTCGCGCCTTTGCTCGGGACCAGCAGATCGAGACTGCCGCTCGCGCTGTTAACCGTGCTGCGGGTCGACGACCTACTTTCTCAGCCCCTGTGGCTGATATGAGCCCTCGTGGCCCCGGCTTGGTGTCCCAGCGCAACATGTCGCAGGAGCACTTGTCGCTGCCCCCTCGCCCTCCCAAGGCTGTCACGCGGAACCGCGACTTCCGTGCTCACCCGTACGACAGTCCCAGGGTCTCTCAGCGTGGCCGGCAGCCGCCCCAGGAACGCGCTCGAATGGCAACCCCCCTCGAGACCAATACCTACTATGACCAAGGCCATAGAACCCAGGCATACTACGGACAGCAGCTCAGCCGTCAGTCTTTCTACCATCAGGGTCCCAGAATGCAGGGCCACTACGGACAGGATTCTGGTAGCCACGGCTACTATGATCAGGGCCCCAGAGCTCAAACTTACGGTCAGAACTCTGGCAACCAGGGCCACTATAACCAGGCGCGCGACTACTACGGCCAGACCACCATCCCCCAGGGATTCGACAATGGCCCCAACTCTGAGACCTACTGGGATCAGACCGCCAAAAACCGCGAATACTACGAGCGGGAGTACGCCGCTCAAAGTCAACAGTATATCAACCAGTGCCATGGTCGAAGTGACGACAGCCAGGGCTATCAGGGTCAGACTTCCAGCAGCCGTGGTTACGATCAGAACCGCAGCGTCGATGGTTCCGGACAAAACCACGAGAACCGGGGCTACGATCGTGACTACGACCAGAGCCAGGCCACTCAGGGCTATCACGACCAGAACCGTAGCGTTCAGGGCTCCTTCCATGACCACGAGAACCTCGGCTACGAGGAGAACCATGCCAACCACGGCTACTACAACCAGGACCGCAGCATCCAGAGCTCCGACCAGAACCGTGGCTACGATCAGAACTACGCCAACCAGAGCTACGATCAGAGCCGCAACCAGCATGCCCCCGGTAGCCAGGGATACCACGCGAATGCTGCGTACAACACTGGTCAGCACCAGAATGCTCACTCCACGAGCTACAACGGTCACCAGCCTGCCGTGGGATCCCACCAATACGGCCAGGAACTCCAGTACCCCCAGTCGCAGCAGTCGAGCATGGGCTACTCTGACGAGCATGTTGGAAATCGAGCCAGCTCGGCGCGCGTTGAGCCTCATGTCATGCCTCGCTACTCAGATCATCAAGTCTCGATGTCCTCTGGCCGCAGCTCAGTTGCGATGACGCCCAGCCACGACACCTCCGCGCAGCACAGTGCCGCGCCGTCTCCCGGCTACGTTGGCTATCCCTCGACCATTCCGAACTACATCCAGCGCCCCTCGACTGCCAGCTCTGGTCGCCAGCAGCGCTCTCGCCGTCCTTCTGCTCATCAGCAGGTCAGCGAGGATCATCATCGCCAGGGAGCTCAAAGCAACAGTCGCGAGGAACCTCAGAATGAGCAGTTGCAGCATCCCTCTTCTTCTGCCCCTGTTCGTCAGCCTGCCAACGAGGATCAGCACCGTCAGGGAGCCTACCAGGAGAAGGAAGCGTTCCGGGCTCCATCTTTCTCTTCGGTCGCTCGTCAGCATGCCACCGAGCACTACAGCCGCCAGGGAGCCTATATGGATCGTCACGAGGAGCCCCAGAATGAGCAGATCCAGCGTCCCTCTGCCTCTTCTGCCCCTCCTCCTCAAAATCCTACCGAGTACGCCCCCCAGAGCGGTTACATGCACAACCATGGACTGACCGAGGACGAGCGATTCCCTCGTCCCTACGTCTCTCCCTACCCTCCTCGTCAGCATCTCAGCGAGCACAGCAACGATCAGGGCGGCGGCCCGAAGAATGCCCATGTGCCTCAGTACGAGCCAGAGATGTTCCAGGCCTTTGAGGCCGCCTCCTCTCAGCGCAAGGAGTGAGCCTCTAACATTGTACGTTCTTTGCTCTCCAGGTCAGGATGTTGCGACTTGCATCAGGGCGGCACTGGTATTCAGTTGCTGGATTTACCCGCGACTGGCACAGACCCAGTGATTACAGGGGCATCGCCACTCCATTACGGATCTGGAAGCTCTCACATTGGCATTGGGCATTCTAGCTGCATTTATAAGGAAGCAGTCGAACGTGGACATCGGCGTTGAGCATTCTGGCTGGATTCGGGTCTTGGTTTAGGCGTTGGGATGAGGTTAATGGCAGAGATACCCATCATGGCTTTCGGGATGCAGACAGTGGGAGAAGGATAGACCCTAGTCGTCCAGGCCCCCACGAGATAGTTCCCCATAGCCCTTTCATAGGAATTGAGCATCAGCCAACCATAGCTTCCCCATCCTTCGATTGTGCCACCCTCTATCCCACGTCTCAGGTTTAATAAGATATGCATAATGACTAAGCCAACCGAGGGGGGAAACTCGAACGACTTTCTCGAGTCCAGGTCTCCAAGACTCCATGTTCGCCGGTGGGGTACTGACACGAACAGCAAGCAAGGAAGGGTGGCATGATCTGATATTAAAAGTGCCGTCCGAGCGAGCGAAGGGGCAAAAGCAAGGCTGATAAGGACAGAATGGGCGACGAGAGGCGAACAAACAAGAACTATCGCAGGAACTCTCGAGTCTTTAAAACGTGAGCATCTTGCAATTGACTTTTTGGTTTTCATCCTTTGATTGTGTCTTTTACCCTCGATTCTTTGAAGTCAAACCAACGTTGAGCGAAACTTGCAGGGTTGTCGTTACTTTTTCCCGCTACCTTAATTCGATTGAACCTATCACATCAACGCGTTATCCAATCGACTATCCAATCTATCTTAACCCCCAAGCACTTTATCAACTCTCTTAAATCAGCACAACCAACCAAACCACCCAAATGACAGTCACAAAGCAAGCGCCGCCCACGATGCCAATCCACCTCGAGATACCAGTCTTCTCCCCGTCCTCGGCGCTGCACGCCCAGGCCATCGGCGCGCAGCGCATCGAGCTCAACGCGCGCGGGAGCTACGCCGTCGGCGGCACGACACCCACGCTCGCGGACCTCGAGGGCGTGAACAATTGGCTCATGGTACCCGTGCGGATCATGATTCGGCCGCGGGGGAAGCGTCCGGAAGATGAAGTTGACTTTGTGTATGATGATGAGGAGTTTGAGGTCATGGTGAGGGACGTGGAGGCGTTTCGGGGCGTGTTGAGGCGGGAGAGGGGGGACGGGTTCGTGTTTGGGGTGCTGGAGAGGAGCGGCGGTGGTGACGGTGCGGTTGTGGTTGATGTCGAGAGGAATCGGAGGCTGGTTGAGGCCGCCGGCGGGCTGGCGTGTTCGTTTCACCGGGCTTTTGACGAGGTTATTCGCGATGGGGAGACGAAGACGATTGCGAGGGGGGTGAGGGACTTGGTGGGTTGCGGGTTTGAGGGGGTGCTTACGTCCGGCGGGCCGGGGAATGCGGCGGAGAACCGGGCGCTGCTGGAGGTTGTTGTGCGGGAGGCGTCGTCGGAGGGTGTGGTGAAGATGATGGCCCGCAAGGAAAAGGAGACGAAGGGCCTGGAGGTTATTGTTGGCGGCGGGGTGAGGAAGGAGAATGTTGAGGGGCTGGTTGACGGGTTTGAGGGGGCTCGTGTCTGGGCGCACTCGAGTTGTTTTACGGGCAAGTGTGCCGAGGGGGAGGTTGATGATGAGGAGGCGATGGGGATCTTGGAGAGGCTTGCTGAGAGGTGATTTTGGATCTTTCTGGATTTTTGGGTAGATGGTCGTGGGAGTCAGTGTAGATAGCGCGAACAGATCTCAACATCAGGTTACAAGCATTGTATCGAAGAGCAATGAAGTTCTCACGGGTTTTTGGCTGAGTGGCATCTTGGTGAATCCTGGCGTTCTGCATCCACTCGGGTTGCGAGTCAACCCCCACAGAGTCGGACCGCGCGGGAGATCGACCCTGCTTAGCACACGAACCATGCCCCCTCGCAAGAGATCCGAATGGGGGCAGCAATCTAAACAAGAAACGAACAATGCACGACATAGCTACATCAGTTAACACCTGCGCGTCTGATCTTTCTGCCTCGCTTGCCCGCCTGTCTTCCGGGATGTAACCATGCTTGCGGCTCACCTAGGTTGGGCCAAGGCAGAGGCCATCTGTTTGTTCTTTTTTCCCGGTACCCTCGTCCTAGCCCCATCTACTTCCCTAGAGAAAAGCGAAGAGATCCTCTGCCCGTGAACAATACACCCAAAAGGGTAAATTGATCCCGTCCATCGTGGGCTGACGAAGAGGGACAAAACGGACGACGGAAAGTGGATCATGGTCAGTTCATCGGCCGATGATGGGCCCGAGCGGATGGGGCCCGGGGCCCCGTTGTAACATCGCCGAGTGGCACCGTGGCCTAGACTCGCAATGTTGACTCGAGCAAGTTTAAGAGTTCCTTGCGTGAAGGCTGAATAAAATCATAGATCAGGAATCTTGGGATTTATGTTTGTGCTGCTTCTCGGGAGGCATCGTGCACAATCTCGTCGACTTGATTTTGGGGGCGGCGAGGCATGAACAACTTCACAAGACTGTACTCTCGACGTAGCACGAGCCTTCTACGGTGCTTTCAATGTCAGAGAACGGTGCGCAACTTTGTATACGAAGATAGTCTTGAAGCTGGTTTTGAAACGAGTTCCTGGGTGACCTATACGGCGACGAGCGGAGAGGCAGCGTTTCCGTCCGTCCATCTGGCTGTCCATGTCTACAAACACCATAGCATCAACCAGTAGTTCAGACTCTTCAGTCTGGCGATAGTCATAGAGAGTGTTCTTGACCAACGAAATATTAATTCTACACTTCATCACCGAGTTTCATTACGGGAGAGCCTCCCCAACCTCTGTACCCAAACATCAACCGCCCCAACACCCACTCGCCATGCTTAATCAAAGTTCAAAACATCTTCGACCCCTTTCGACTCAAGCATGAAGAGCCCTAGCCTTCCTCGCACACCCAGCCCCAGGCGCCGTCGCATTCTTCGGCTGCGCGAGACCAAGACAGTTCGCCATCTTGTAGAAAACATCAATGTTGCTATACGTGCCGCCAAACGTCTCCTGGCAAGGTCCCCTCGCCCACACAGCAACGTCCGTCAACGAGTGCACGCCCTGCGCCTCATTCGTAGGCAGCGTACCATTCACCACGAAGCCATCGACGGCGTCCTTGGGGTTGGCGTAGTAGTCCGTGGTATTCGTCGCCGCAACAGCGGGCGTGCGCGCACCGTCGGCGTGGACCTTGTAGTCCTCGCGGCGGTCCGGGTTGGCGCCGAAGCCCGCGGCGATGGCGTAGCGCGGGGACCAGTTGAGCGGGAAGTTGGGCCCCGTGTTGTACGAGACGCCGGGCTGCTCGACGGTGTACTGCGACAGGCCCGAGTTCGCGTAGACGCCGACGGCCTTGCGCTTTGTGCGGTCGTCTTTTTGCTCGGCGAGGTACTTTGTGTCGGCGTTACCAAAGACGCTGCTGAAGTCAATATAGAAACGTAAGTAGATACTGACAGGTACTCACTCAAAGCCGTGGCCGTGGTCGGATGACACGACTACGAGGGTCTCCTCGAGAATGCCGAGCTCCTCGAGCTTCTCCAGCGTAGCCTTGACGGTGTCGTCTAGCTCGAGCAAATCGCCCAGCGCGCGGTCGTAGTCGAGCGCGTGCATCTGCTTATCAATGGACGCGGCCTCGGACATCAAGAAGAAACCCCGCTCGCCGCCGCGGTTGTGCAGCGTCTCGACAGCCTTGAGCGTCATCTCCTTGAGCCCCGGAACGTCGGCGGCGGCGCTCTTGTTGCCCGTGGGATCGTTGCTCAGCTTGGCCAGGTTCTCCGTCAAAACATTGCGGTCGAGCCAGACGGGGAGGTTGCCCTGGGTAAAGATGCCGAGGATGCGCTCGTTGGGGTCGGCGGCTTCGAGCGACGTCTTGTTGAGGGCGACGCTGTAGCCCTTGTCGGCGAAGGCGGCGTAGTAGTCCTTGCCCTGGTAGGAGCCCTTGCCCGGATAGAACTGCTCGGCGCCGCCGCCGAGGTAGACGTCCGGGCCGGTCATCTTCGTCCAGGTGTAGTTTGTGATGCCGTTGAGGGCCTGGTCGATCAGGGGCCCGTACAGGGACCGGGCGCGGGTGTGCGCCGTCAGGGCGATGGGGGTCGCGTCGGCGATGAAGGCCGTGGAGACGGCGCCCCAGGCGGAGCCCTGCGTTTGTTAGACTGGTTCAGGGGGCAGAGACGGACTGGACATACCCAGATGCGGTGGATCAGCTCGACAATGGTCTCGACCTTGGGGTCGTCAAAGGCGTCGGGGGAAGAGTCGACGTAGACACTGGCACATGTCAGTGAGCATTTTGACGGTCCATCATCTCCACTTACCCCATGGCGTTCACGGTGCTCTTGTGGCCAGAGTACAGCGCCGACGCAGAGTTGGCAGAGTCGGTGATGTAGCTGTCAATGGAATGGGTCATCTGGTGACCAATGACGGGGAACTTGTCGAGAGCCAAGCTGGTCTGGTACTTTCCATTGATGCTCTTATGGCCGAGAAGACGGGCGGCAGTGACCTGTGGGTGTCAGTATGTAGTTCAGAGATGTGAGCTTCGTAAATACCATGTTGGTGGTCATTCCGTCGCCTGAGTCCAGAGTTAGCATAGGCAGAAACACCACAACCACAGAGACATACCAATGAAGAAGATGACATTCTTGGCCTTCTTCTCCGTCGCCAGAGGTCGCACGACCCAGTTGGCGGTGGTCTTCTTGCCGTCGTAGTACGTGAGGGTGACGACGTAGTTCCCGGGCTCGTACAGCGCGAGGCGGCGCCAAATCTTGGACGCCACGTTGACGACGCTCTTCTGCTTGGCATCCTCAGCAAAGAGGTCCTCGTACCACCCAAACGACCACTTCTCGAGCTTGGGCTCCTCGAGACCGAAGAACTCGGTCAAGCTCTTTGCGGCGCCGCCCTCCTTGGCAATGGTCGCCTTGAAGGCCTCATCGGGGACGCCGTTGTTGAAGGCCTCGGAGCCGTTGACGGGCGCGTGGACTTCGACGCGGAGGTCAAAGGTCTGGCCGGGGAGGAAGTCGGACTGGTCGGGCGGGAGGACGCAGCCGAGGTCCGGGCACGTCCCGAGGCGCTGGTAGGTCTGCGCCGAGGCGAGGGACGACAGCGAGGCCGCGGCCAGGACGGCGGCGAGTGGGTTGAGCTTGACCATCTTTGTGTGTCCTCAGGGTGAATTGGCTGCAGATTGAAGCCAAAAGAGCACAATGAAGCGTTGGGATGAGAAGAAGGGTACAACAAGCTTGACCAGGACGTTGGAGCAGAAGCTTTCCTGCGGCTCGGGAGCTTATATACCAATAAGTTCAGCAAGGGGACCAAAAGTCATCCCGTGTCTTTCAAGAGCCCAGATGGTGTTACTCCCCCGCCAAAAGTTCCCCGTCTACTGCATGACAAAAACACTCTGTCGGTTCGCGGATTCTCTCGTTCGCGGGTCCCATACTTTGAAGACAGCTCCGGGTGAGCGAGCTGCAGATTGCGCGGCGCATCATCCCAGCCTGCGCAGGACGTTAGTCCAACGTAATGGGTAGGATTCCGTCTGCACCGAGAGCATCAATATCGATGTACGATTGGACAGCACAGGGGCAGAAGGACGGCTAGACCGAGATCATGACGGCGTGCTGGGTCGGATGGAAGAAGCTGAATGTAACTTCACGGCTCGTTTTGAGCGACAGAGGCACGTGTCTCTGCACGAACTTTGAGGTGGTGAGTCGGGGCCATCTCGGGCTTCCCAACGCCAAGACACTTGTTATTTGACGGCGAAGCGGAGATGATGCTAATCATGCTAGAGCGAGAAAGAAGGAAGAAGCTCCGACGCTGGAAGCTGGGCGTGCTCGGTCTGCGAATTGGGGATGAAGCCTGCGAACGCTGCGTGGGGTGGGTTGCCAGAAGGCACAAGAGATGAACGGCGTCATGTGGCGTTGGCTTGGCGCTGCAGGTCGAGAAGGGATCATGAGCTTTCTAAGCTTGCTGAGCTTCCCGAACCTGATTTGAGAACCTCGCTGTTATTCGTCAATCCCGGCCGGGTTGTAGTCGGTCGAGAGGTTTGTGTTCCCGGGACGAGACGAGAGTTGACCGTGGCCGTTGGGTCCGACCCCGTGGGTGAATTGGCGCTTCTGATTGGCTGCTGGCTGCCGGTGTAAGTCGGGGAACCAGGGTTGACGGCGGGGGGGTATTAGTCTAGGTGGTGTCGATGTCTTTGGTGCCTTGGGGGAACAAGCTTACCATCTCATTTTACAGACTTTTGGTTAATCGCTGCTGCTTGCAAGAGTCCAAGATGATCCTTGAAGAAGGGCGTGTGCTGACGGAACGTGTTGTGGGTAATGTTCTACGCAAACGCCAAGAACGACGACGGCACGAGCTCCGATGGACCCTCAGAACTTCGCCACGATGTGAAGAAGCTTTCCTTGGCTTTCCAATGGACCTGCTTCTTGTTCCGGAGACCACGTTGGGGAGCACGTTTTCTGCTAGTAGCATAGAAAGCGAGTTCGCTCCAAGCTGCGTTTTGCCCAATCGAGGTTTGCGCCAGCGGCATAGTTGACTGAGCCGTGGTGTCTTGGCTCAAGTCCAGAGTCATGGCAGCAAGTCGAGAGGATCGTAACATTGAACGGACCCAAAGCCGCGGGGTCGGAAATCAGCACACTTTTGACAGGTTCCGCCGTTTGGGATGATCATCATTTCTGTCAAGGGAAGAGGGTCACTTTGCAGGACACTGAGTACAGAGTATGAGATTGGTCTCTTGGAGTCTAAACATTACGGATCTAAGTGTCTCTAGGACAAACGTGATCGACTGAGTTGCACAGTTGCGAGTCAGATAATCGTACAGAAACCCCGTTTCCCAAACGCCGTGCTCTATGGGAGGAGTCAAGCGCTCAACTCCCAGGCCGAAAATGCAACAACTCAGCATGGACGAAGCTCTTCTGCTTCCCCTGCTCACTCGAGATTCTGCGCCTCGCACATCTGCTTATACATGCCCCCCTTGGCCACAAGCTGCGCATGCGTGCCCTTCTCCACAATCCTCCCGCCATAAAACACACAAATCACATCGGCATCTTTCACAGTCGACAACCGGTGCGCAACAGCAACCGTGATCCTCTCCCCGTCCCGCGCAGCCTCCTCCAGCGCGCGCTGCACAATCTTCTCCGACTCGGTGTCGAGCGCGCTCGTCGCCTCGTCGAGCAGCAGGATCTTGGGCTGGCGGATCAGCGCCCGCGCGATGGCGATGCGCTGCCTCTGTCCGCCGGACAACTGCATTCCGCTGCTGCCGCAGGGGGTCGCGAGGCCTTCAGGGAGCGACGAGACAAAGTCCCACGCGTTGGCTGCGCGGCAGGCCGCTTCGATCTGGGTGTCCGGGACGATTTCGTCCAGGGACTCTGCGTCGATTCCCAACGAAATGTTCTCGCGGATGGAGCCCTGGAAGAGGGTAGGCTCTTGCTGGACGAGGGCGACGATGTGGCGGTAGAGGCGGGGGTTGAGGTCCGACAGAGCCGCGTCGCCGTCGATGACGATGCTGCCTGTCGTCGGGTCGTAGAAGCGTTCGAGCATGGCGATCATTGTGGATTTGCCGCAGCCTGAGGCGCCTACCAGGGCGACGAACTGGCCCTTTTTGATCTGGAGATGTGTTAGGCATGATTTCTGTCAGGTACTTAAGGGGGACTCACTTCGAGATCGACTGCGCGGAGGACATGCGCTTCGGGTCGTAGGGGGTACGAGAAACGGAGCTGCTGGAAGTCGACCGAGGCGCCGGCCTTTGGCGCGGCGTCGCGGTTCTGGGGCGTCTCCTGGATGGACGGCTGGAGGTCGTGCAGCCAGAAGAGGTAGTTTGCGGCGTTGATGCCCTTGGTCATGCCTGGGAAGGGTCAGAGTGTGTGACATCACTAGCGGAGAAGATTCAACTTACTGCTCGAGTACTGGAACAGCTGCGACGCGGCCTGTCCGGAGAAGAATGTGCCCATGAAGGCGACGAAGAACTGGTACATTGTGATCTCGTTGAACGAGAGCAGCCGGCAGCCGTACCTGTTCGAAAGTTAGCAACTAGATTGGGAAGACGCAGCACCCAAACTCACCAGAACCCGAGGGCCATGAAAAAGTACTCAATGGCCTGGGTCAGTCCAAACGCAACAGTCATGACGAAAAGGGGGCCAGTCGAAGCCCTCACGGCGTTATCGAGCTCGTCAGTATACCTCTTCAACACCGACTCCTCGATAGCGAGAGACGAAACGGTCCTGATCGCCGTCACGGATTCGGACGCGATCGCCGCGCTCGCAGAGTACCGCTTCGACGTCTTGGTATCCAGGCGCGAGTCAAGTCTGACCTTGATGTAGCCCGAGGACACCAGTGGCGGCATACCCGCGAGCACGACGACGAGACCCAGCTTCCAGGTCGTGGCGATAGCCAGGATACCGCACGCGATGACGTTCAGCGACGAGATGAGGATGAGGCCAATGTTGAAGCCCATGAGCTCGAGGATCGCCTGCGGGTTCGACTCAAGCCGACTGGCAAGCGCGCCCGTGTTGTTCTCGACGCGGTCAAAGAATTGCAGGTCCTGGCGGAGGAAATCGTTGAGGGACTGCCGGCGCAGCTTGTGATTGAGCCCCTGGGCGATGACGTTTGTGGCCCAGCCCATGACGAAGTAGCAGCAGAGCACGCCGAGGGCGAGGACGAAGAACATGAGGGAGTAGAAGTTGCCTTTGGTGATCATCTCGGAGCCCGTCATCGTGAAGACGTCGACGAGGTTGGCGATGACGAGGGACTGGCCGGGGAATGCGCCGGCGGCGACTATCACGGCCAGTAAGGTTGCGAGGTACGCCCACTTCAGCTCAGGCGTCTCGCGCACCATGCGGATGACGACGCTGATGAGGCCGATGGGCTTGTAATGATCAAAGTTGTCGCGCTCCTTCTGCGCCTCCATCCGCGTCTGGTCTGTCGTCCGGTACCGGCTCATGGTCTTCGTGAGCTCAATGTCCTCCTTCCCAGCAGCAGCCGCCGCCGTCACCGCTTCGTCGTCATCCTCCTCCGTCTCGGTAATGGATCCTTCCTCGGCCACGTTCAAGTTCTGCGCCCTCACGAGACGGGTATACGCGCCGCCCTGCGCCAACAGGCCCTCGTGCGTCCCCTGCTCGACAATGGCGCCCTTGTTCATGACTACAATATTGTCCGCCTTGCGGATGGTGGCGAGTTTGTGGGCAATGACAATGGTCGTACGGCCCTCGGCGGCCTTGTCTAGGGCCTGCTGCACGACGCCCTCGGCGTGCGGGTCCAGGGCGCTGGTGGCTTCGTCGAGGAGGAGCACCTTGGGTTCCGAGATGATACTCCGTGCGATGGCGACGCGCTGCTTCTGGCCGCCTGACAGGAGGCCGCCGCGCTCGCCAATCATCGTGTCGTAGCCTTCGGGCAGCTGGGAGACGAAGTCGTGGGCAAAGGCGATCTTGGCGGCGTCCTGGACGCGGCGGAGCTGCTCCTCGCGGGGCGAGGACTCCCACGGGGTTCCGACGAGGCCGTTGGCAATGTTGTCAAAGACTGTTCCCTGGAAGAGGACGGGTTCCTGCGGTTGTCAGAGTTGGTTCAAAATGTAGGTGCTTCTCATCTCACCTGCTGCACGAGCCGGACATTCTTCCTGAGCCAGTTGAGGTTCAGCTGGTCGATCGGCTGGCCGTCGAGCTTGATGGTGCCCGATTTTGGATTGTACCATCGCTCAATCAGCCCGATGATTGTGCTCTTGCCGGAGCCGCTGGAGCCCACGAGCGCCGTCACCTTGCCCGCGGGCACATGGAGCGAGTAGTTATCGAGGACCGTGACGCCGGGGCGCGTCGGGTACTCGAACGAGACGTTCTCGAGGTCGACGACGCCGACGGTCTCGGTGGGCTGGTGGCCCGACTTGTCAAAGGGGTCGATCTCGGAGACGCGGTCGATGAGCTTGAAGAGCTGGGCGGCGGCGGAGGCGGCGCGGGTGAATTCGATGATGTAGGGCGCTAGCATGGTCAAGCTCGTTGCGCCGATGACCACAGATAGGAGGACCCTGAAGCCTGTTAGCTGATGCTCCTGAAAGATGCTGCGGACTACTCACGTGAAAATGTCTCCAGACTCGGTAATCTCGCCCCGGTTCAACATGTGGATGCCCTGCCAGAACGCCAGGGCGAAGCCGGCGTAGATGACAAAGTACTCAAACGAAAAGAGCACGCCAAACAGGGCCGACTTCTTGTTGCCGATGCGGTGGGCGTCCTCGAGGAACCTGTCAAACTTTTGCACCAGCCGCGAGCGGATCTCAAAGGCGTGAACGGTGCGCGCGCTCGAGAGGATGCCCTCGGAAAAGGAGCCCGCCTGGGCGTAAATGTCGAGGATCTTTGTCTCGAGGCCGGCTTCAATGGTAGAGACGACGCCCATCACAATCAGAATCAGGGGCGCGATGCAGCATACGATGAGCGTGAGCTTCCACTGCGTGACGAAAGCGATGATGAAGGCGGTGACGAAGACGGCGAGCCCCTGGAAGGTCAGGGCGAGCTTCTCGGCGATGCCGACCTGGATGAGGCGGCCGTTGGAGATGGCTTGGGTGGCGATGGAGCCGCCGGAACCGATGTCGTAGAAGGCAACCTCCTGGCGCAGGGCGGCGTGGAGGTAGGCGTGGCGGATGTTGCGCGTGATGCGGTAGGCGGAGAAGGTTGTCAGGGAGATGTAGCCGTAGGCGAGGACGAAGCGCGCGATGCCGAGGTAGACAAAGTAGAGGCTGAGATGTTAGCTTGTAGTGATGATGTGGGAATGAGCAGAGACGTACGCCAGCTTTGAGACTTCATTGCGAAAGTGTTGAGGGGTGGACTGGCCGGTGGTGAAGTCCTGGATGGTGGTGACGAAGCTGCCAAAGATCAAGTTTTGCAGGGCCACGCCGGCGCCGGCGCCCAGGGCGCATATTATCGCGATTGTTTGCAGGAGCTTCTCAAAGGGTCCCCCGAAGGAAAAGATTCTCTGGGAGACGTCAGCATGCTTGCAAAAAGTGAGAGTCGACGGTGACCATACCAAGTAGGCCTTGAACGCGCCGCCTTCTGCCTTGACAGCTTCGTTTGGCGAAGCAATGGCGGCGACGGTATCCTCAGCCGGAGTGTGCTCCTTCTTTTCGGCCCCCATATTGTGCGGCTGACGGGTGGTTCACCCCAAGATCTGATCGTCTGTGTCGCGTGGTGTGTTCGTACTATCAAGAAATGTGAGCCGGCGGGTTGGCTTCTCTTGTAGATGAGATGGGGAAAACCAGACGATACGATACAGGTTATATCATGCGGTGCACCTCAAGGCGAGCCAGAAGAATGTCTTCAAACGCGCATATTGAAATTTGAAGCTCGGATAATGGAACACGCAAACTCGAGCTGACTGATCGCCAACATAGCAGAGTCTCCGTCATTGAAGCTGCTGCTGCGAGGCCTTGGCTTCTCCCGCGGACCGCCGTCATGGAAGCGAGAACGCCCCACTCTTCGGCATAGTGGACCCCCCGCTTCGGTGCAGGAACGAGTGCGATTGGTTCGACTCCAGCTTGGCAGACTCGCAGCGGGGGCCGCGGGTTCATCGCGCCCGGGCGCCCACTCCGCTGCTTTGCTCGGGGCGCGGTGCTCTCGGGGC